AAAAAGAATGGAGGCAAAGATCGAGTAGATGCAAGAAATGTTTAACAAAGACCTAGAAGAATTAAAGAACAAACAAACAGAGATGAACAATACAATAACTGAAATGAAAACTACACTAGAAGGAATCAATACCAGAATAACTGAGGCAGAAGAACGGATAAGTGACCTGTAAGACAGAATGGTGGAATTCACGGCTGCGGAACAGGATAAAGAAAAAAGAATGAAAAGAAATGAAGACAGCCTAAGAGACCTCTGAGACAACATTAAATGCAACAACATTCACATTATAGGGGTCCCAGAAAGAGAAGAGAGAGAGAAAGGACCCAAGAAAATATGTGAAGAGATTATAGTCGAAAACTTCCCTAACATGCATAAGGAAATAGCCACCCGAGTCCAGGAAGCACAGAGAGTCCCATACAGGACAAACCCAAGGAGAAACACACTGAGACACATAGTAATCAAATTGTAAAAAATCAAAGACAAAGAAAAATTATTGAAAGCAGCAAGGGAAAAATGACAAATAACATACAAGGGAACTCCCATAAGGTTAACAGCTGATTTCTCAGCAGAAACTCTACAAGCCAGAAGGGAGTGGCATGATATACTTAAAGTGATGAAAGGGAAGAACCTACAACCAAGATTACTCTACTCAAGATCTCATTCAGATTCATTACTCACTCAAGATCTCATTCAGATTCGATAGAGAAATCAAAAGCTTTACAGACAAGCAAAAGCTAAGAGAATTCAGCACCACCAAACCAGCTCTACAACAAATGCTAAAGGAACTTCTCTAAGTGGGAAACACAAGAGAAGAAAAGGACCTACAAAAACAAACCCAAAACAATTAAGAAAATGGTCATAGGAACATACATATCGATAATTACCTTAAACGTGAATGGATTAAATGCTCCAACCAAAACACACAGGCTTGCTGAATGGATACAAAAACAAGACCCATATACATGCTGTCTACAAGAGACCCACTTCAGACTTAGGGACACATACAGACTGAAAGTGAGGGGATGGAGAAAGATCCCATGCAAATGGAAATCAAAAGAAAGCTGGAGTAGCAATACTCATAACAGGTAAAATAGACTTTAAAATAATGAATGTTACAAGAGACAAGGAAGGACATTACATAATGATCAAGGGATCAATCCAAGAAGAAGATATAACAATTATAAATATATATGCACCCAACATACGAACACCTCAATACATAAGGCAACTGCTAACAGCTCTAAAAGAGGAAATCGACAGTAACACAAAAAGAGTGGGGGGCTTTAACACCTCACTTACACCAACGGACAGATCATCCAAGATGAAAATAAATAAGGAAACAGAAGCTTTAAATGACACAATAAACCAGATAGATTTAATTGATATTTATAGGACATTGCATCCAAAAACAGCAGATTACACTTTCTTCTCAAGTGCACATGGAACTTTCTCCAGGACAGATCACATCTTGGGTCACAAATCAAGCCTCAGTAAATTTAAGAAAACTGAAATCATATCAAGCGCCTTTTCTGACCACAACGCTATGAGATTAGAAATGAATTACAGGGAAAAAAAACTTTAAAAACACAAACACATGGAGGCTAAACAGTACGTTACTAAATAACCAAGAGATCACTGAAGAAATCAAAGAGGGAATCAAAAAATACCTAGAGACAAATGACAATGAAAGCACAACGATCCATGGGATGCAGCAAAAGCAGTTCTAAGAGGGAAGTTTATAGCTATAGAAGCCTACCTCAAGAAAGAAGAAAAATCTCAAATAAACAATCTAACCTTACACCTAAAGGAACTAGAGAAAGAAGAACAAACAAAACCCAAAGTTAGCAGAAGGAAATAAACCATAAAGATCAGAACAGAAATAAATGCAACAGAAACAAAGAAAACAATAGCAAACATCAATAAAACTAAAAGCTGGTTCTTTGAGAAGAGAAACAAAATTGATAAACCACTAGCCAGACTCATCAAGAAAAAGAGGGAGAGGACTCAAATCAATAAAATCAGAAATGAAAAAGGAGAAGTTACATCAGACACCGAAGAAATACAAAGCATCCTAAGAGACTACTACAGGCAACTGTATGCCAATAAAATGGACAACCTGGAAGAAATGGACAAATTCTTAGAAAGGTATAACCTTCCAAGACTGAACCAGGAAGAAATAGAAAATATGAACAGACCAATCACAAGTAATGAAATTGAAACTGTGATTAAAAATCTTCCAACAGGGCTTCCCTGGTGGCACAGTGGTTGAGAGTCCGCCTGCTGATGCGGGGGACACGGGTTTGTGCCCCGGTCCGGGAAGATCCCACATGCTGCGGAGTGGCTGGGCCCGTGAGCCATGGCCGCTGAGCCTGCGCATCCGGAGTCTGTGCTCCGCAGTGGGAGAGGCCACAACAGTGAGAGGCCCATGTACCGCAAAAAAAAAAAAAAAAAAAAAAAGGGAATCTGTTGACAAAATGATTCTGAAGTTCATGAGGAAGAGGAAGCTAGAAAGAATATCTAAGAAAAATTTGATGAAGAAAAAACAAAGAAAAACATGAAAGATAAGTGATTCTTTCCCAAGAATTTTAGGTGATATTATCTCATTTCATCCTCATAGTAGTTCCATAAGGTAGAGACTCTTATTAACCCCATTTTAGAGATGACAAAGCTGAATTCAATGGCGACAAAGGATCTCCAAGGATGACAGATTTAGATGCATCTATAATCTATACATGTACCTATATCTACGTCTATACTTGTGTCAGTGGTTTGAGAGGGAATTTAAATACAGATTTTTTCAACCAGATTTTAGACTCTCTGCATTCCCCTTTGATGCCTCCAAAGCTGTTGCAGAAACCCCAGACCCCTGGGAAATGCTATGGGACTCATTACTGATTTCTAAGAAAACCTAACTCACTGCTAGCAGAGCTGTGATCTCTCTAACGAAAATGGTTGATTGGAAGACATCTATTAATGCGGAAATGCTGCAATTTAATAAATAACCCCCCCCCACATGAAAATTATTTCACACACTCGTGCATGAGGCGAGCGGAGCCAGAGACAAGACCAGAGGTCGAACTCGGGATCTGACAAGATGGCCGGGCTGCCGTGCACGATTATCAAGGAAACCCAGCGTTTGCTGGCAGCGCCCGTTCCCGGCATTAAAGCAGAAACAGATGAGAGCAACGCCCGTTATCTTCATGTGGTCATTGCTGGCCCTCAGGATTCCCCCTTTGAGGGAGGGACTTTTAAACTTGAACTACTCCTTCCAGAAGAATACCCAATGGCAGCCCCTAAAGTACGTTTCATGACCAAAATTTATCATCCTAATGTAGACAAGTTGGGAAGAATATGTTTTAGATATTTTGAAGGATAAGTGGTCCCCAGCACTGCAGATCCGTGCAGTCCTGCTATCGATCCAGGCTTTGTTAAGTGCTCCCAACCCAGATGACCCATCAGCAAATGATGTAGCGGAGCAGTGGAAGACCAACGAAGCCCAAGCCACAGAAACAGCTAGAGCGTGGACTAGGCTATATGCCACGAATAATATTTAAATCGATCCGATCATCAAGTGTGCATCATGTCTCCTGTTCTGCCAAGGCTTCTTCCTTTTTTGTTTGCATTTAATGGACACAGTCTTAGAAACATTACAGAATAAAAGCCCAGACATCTTCAGTCCTTTGGTGATTAAATGCACATTAGCAAATCTATGTCTTGTCCTGATTCACTGTTGTAAAGCATGAGCAGAGGCTAGAAGTGTCATCTGGATTGTTGCGAAACGTTTAAAAGCAGTGGCCCTTCTCTGCTTTTATTCATTCCCCCATCATGGTTTGAGTATAAAGCACTGTGAATGAAGGTAGCTGTCAGGGTTAGCTGCAGGGGTGTGGGTGTTTTTCTTTATTATTATTATTTTTTGGTGGTCGGGGAAGGTAGTTTTATTTGAATTTTATGGGCTCCTTTCCCCCTTTTTATGGTGATCTGATTGCATTGGTTAAAAGCAGCTAACCCTTCTTTAGAATATGCTCTCTATCCAAGTCTAACTTTATTTAGACACTGTAGATGGACAAGCTTGATTGTTTGAACCAAAATGGGTACATTAAACAAACATCACAGCCCTCACTAATAACATTGTGACTTTGCTGCCAAGTGTAGAATCCTCCCTTCAAGAAAAAGCTTGTGACCATTTTGTATGGCTTGTCTGGAAACTTCTGTCAATCTTATGTTTTAGTAAAATATTTTTTGTTATTCTAAAAAAAAAAAATTATTTCACACACACACATACACACAGACTGTTTAATGCCAAGGGCCAAGAAGACCTGCGTAAATTCCGCAAGAAGCTTTATTATCCCAAACCCGAGGCTGAGCCGTGAAGACTACATTCTAAGCCCCCTCTTGTTCCCGCTGTTTATTACCGGGGTTTAGACAACCTCAAAGTGACAGGTCAGTTATTTGGACCAGATGGCAGGATTGATCAAAGACCTCAACAGCACCTATGCTAATGAAAATCTATTCCACACACTAGTGGCAGTTAGAAAGCTGGGGAATCACACTGTGAAGGCTTCCAAGCCCCTCTCACAGGACTGGATTTGATGGATGATTCCTGGCAGCCCTCTGATAGCACATGGCTGTCACCATCTACACACTCGGTGGGTCTCATGTCAAGTTTAAAAAGATGCCAAGGTTTACCTCTCTCACTTCCTCTCCCAAACTCCCCACCACACCCATGTAAATGGGAACATTACCCATTGCTTGTGCATTTTTACACTACCGGTGGTCTCCGGTGTCAGGAAGCCCCACACAACAGAAAGGTCTGGAATCCCATGACTGGTGCAGGAAATGTCAGTTCCCAGGCCATGGGCTTCATACTCAGGTCTGCTTCTCCCTCATCCCAGCACCTCCAATTCTACCATCTAAATATCTCTCAGATGATGGGAATGTAAATTGGTGCAGCCACTACGGAGAACAGTATGGAGTTTCCTTTAAAAACTAAAAATAGGACTTCCCTGGTGGTGCAGTGGTTAAGACTCTGCACTCCCAATTCAGAGGGCCCAGGTTAGATCCCTGGTCAGGGAACTAGATCCCACATGCATGCTGCAACTAAGAGTTTGCACGCAACAACTAAGGAGCCCACATGCTGCAGTTAAGGAGCTGGCGAGCCACAACTAAGGAGCCCGCCTGCCACAACTAAGACCTGGTGCGACCAAATAAATAAATAAATATAAAAAAAAAAAGCCAGGATAATGGGAAATGTGCTTCTTGGTTCTCAGGGTTACAGCTTATGTGTAAAAGGAACTGCTGAAGTTGTCCTTCAGATTCCAAGTATTTTGAGCCTGCCCTGGCTCAGGTTAGGGGCAGGGTACCTGACTCCCAGCTGAAGGCTCAGCTCCAGACCTGGGGTCTAGAGTGGGAAGAGGTCCCATCGCATAGTCTAGGGCTTAGGGCTTAGCATGGATGCCCCAGAAGGCTGGCTCATCCCTGTTGCTGATTACCAAGGCTCATTGTCAGTTTAGGACTAGACGGACCTACCAATAATCTGGAAATATTTTCTGCAGTTCATCACCTAACTTCCCGTGAACCAGGGAACCTATCAACCTCTTATTTCCTGGCAAAATGTATCCCTGTGAAAATTACTACTTGGGTACAGTAGAACCCAGCATCACAATCCTTGTTACTGATAAATTAGAATTAACTCAAGGTTAAACTGTGTTCTTTCAAGCATACCTCCACACAATAAAGCCTATTCTAACCTATCAGTTCAGTACAGACTTCCCACTGCATGAAACAGAAATAATATTAAACAAAATTAAAACTTGGTGGCAATAAGTCCAACTATAGTCTTGGGAAAGTAATTTACAGGGAATTCTTTCTGTCTCAGGGCCCTCCCGACCCCAGCCCCAAGAACAGCTGAATAATGGGTACACTCCACTGAGATCATCACAAATATTAGATCTTGTCATTGACCTTCAAAGATGAGGCTCCATGCTCTGGGGACAACCAAACAATGGCCTGTTAATAAATATGGACTTAGCTCTACTCCCTTAAGCCTAACAATGATGGTGAGTAATATACCGCAATCAAGTCCAGATCTAGTCCAAGGTAACCATGGAGGTTAACCTATCTGGAAAGCTTATTATGGGCTTGGCTTTTGATGTGGATTCTCCCATCTCCTAAAAAGCCTGGTGTAGGTGACGTTCCCCACTGTCATGTTCAGTAGAGTAGGCAAGGGAGGTTATTAATGTGTCTGAGGCCAGTCACACATCTGGGAAGAAATGGGATGGGAATCCAGGAAGTTTGATCCAAACCCAAGCTCTTAGGGGTTGCCCTGTGCTGCTACCCTGGTGAACTGTAAAGACCTAACGCTTATTGTGACTCATCAGGACAGAACGGAGAAAGAGAATCCTTTGCTTATTTTTTACATATTTTTCTAAGCACTACATATGCTAGCGACAGCGGATCCTCGAGTGAAGCCAAGCAAAAGGGCAATGACAATCTGGTGCCGGGGGGACAAAGCAGGGAGGTGAGGGAAGGCCTTCTGGGGCAGAGACCTGGGAGGTCTGTAAGTAGGGGAGTGAGATGTGTAAGTAGTGTGTCTGTGGAAGGCCATTCTGGCTGCAGTCAGGGAAAAAGCCTTTGAAGCAAGGTGCACTTAGGCTTTCAGGCCAGATCTGCTCCCAGCTCAACTGCACAGCCCATACAGCCTGAAGACCTGCAGTGACACTGCTCTCAGGAAACAGGACGGGATGCGACCTCCCACAAGTCCACCCTGGCCACGTTGTGGGTGGCTTGACAACAGCTCTTCCCCCTTTCACTGTTCCTCCCCTCTCCCTCAAATCAGCTATCGTATGGGACCCCCCTGGCGGTCCTGTGGTTGAGACTCCGCGCTTACACTGCAGGGGGCACGGGTTCGATCCCTGGGTAGGGAACCGCATTTGACGTGGCCAAAAAAAAAAAAAATTCTCAACTGGATTAAGAAATCTATCTTTTTTAATAGCTATCAAATCAGCTCCTTTTGGTGTGACCATCCACCGGTATCTATTTTTGCCTGTCAGTGACTCTCTGGAACCCACCTGGAAGCTTCCTTGCCTCTGGTTTAAATGTACTCCAACATAACTTGGCCAGCACGAAGGTCGATCCTCTGAACCCTTAGCCCAATCTCTCCTGTCACAAACACCAAGGGACCCAGCCTCTCAAGAAACAATTTTCCTCTAAATAACCAAGCTCATTAATAAATTTACAAGAGCTCTTTCTCAAGCTACCTGCTGGGGTGCTGGTAATTACAGGAAAGCTTGAGGTCCCAGATTCTACTCAAGTCAATTCAATAGGGCCAATACAAGAAACCCAAGACGCCTTAAAACTTACCTGCTGTTCTAAAGTATCTCCCAAACTTAAATGAAGTGTAATGACATTTATGTAACTACCAGCTTACAAGACAAAAGCCACCTCAACTCATACAAATGTTCTAAAATAACTTCATCTCTTTCTAAACGGTCTAATAGCACAGGACTGAAGTTGTGACATAAATCAAATGATACAAGCCAGTGTCCTGTAGTGGAAAGCCGTGAAGTGGACCTTGCATTTTTAAGTAGATGATGTGTGATATTGCTGTTTGTACAATGAACTTTGGTGTCACTGTTCTAATTATCACCCTGAATTCTAATTATGCAGATCATTAAAGTTATTCAGACTGACATCAGATAGCATCTTCAATTTCCCACTTGGCAGAGACTTGTCAAGCATAGAGAAAAAAAGGATTAATTAACTTTGGAAAGAACATTTCCATTTCTTGTAGAGCTCAGTGATTCCTTAAACTTTTAAGCTCTCTGGTGACTGATATAATCTCACTATGATTCATAAGCATCTGAGTCAAATTATTCGCCTAGCAGCTCTCCCCTAGTGCTAATATTCCAGGGAGGTTTCCTACATTGATGGTTCCCTACAAATAAGTTTCTTATCATTTCATTTTTTAGATGAACCCTAAGGGGACATAGGCAAGTTTAAGGAAAAGCCAAAAGGAGCAAAATTATGGAAAAGTACCCTATTACACACCAGATGTGAAGGCAAGGGACAATTTTGCAGACTCATGTGTGTGCCCCATGGCCTGGTACTCATCCAGGGACAGTAAAAAGTGGTTTGTTAACGGTATTCTTTCCAAAGGACAAGGTCACAGCCTCGGTCGGCCACCATGTGGCAGCAGCACAGGCAGCTCTGAGCACAGGGTTTCCTTCCAGTGCCCTCACATTCATTTGTAAAGCAAAGTGCTTCCAACAAGTGAGCTCCAACCTCCTCTAAGGGTCTGTGTAAGCTCTTAGCTTAGAGCAGACCCAAAAGGTATTGATGGGATGCAGTATACAATGCACGTAATATAAAACTTTTTTTTGGCTCCGGACGTGCAGGCTCAGCGGCCATGGCTCACGGGCCCAGCCGCTCCGCGGCATGTGGGATCTTCCTGGACCGGGGTACGAACCTGTGTCCCCTGCATCGGCAGGCAGACTCTCAACCACTGCACCACCAGGAAAGCCCCGTAATATAAAACTTTTTGCGGCAGTAATCTGCTTTTCTTTTCCCTGAAGCCCTGAGCTCTGTAATTTACGAGGGGCAGTCCTCTCACCTGACAGGGCAGTCCCCACGGATGTAGGGCAGTCCCCATGGATGTGGGACAGTACCCACGGATGTGAGGATGGGCTACAACTTGCCTTTCTTTTCTCCTGGGAATCTCACAACCTCTGGGGGAAGGATGGAGCCAGGAGCTGTGAGCTACAAGACCACCCGGCAAGTCAATCCTTACCCCACCAAGTCTGTCCGTTTTCAGAGCTTTTCCAAGTGGCACTCATGTAAACTCAATAATCAACACAGAACAAGCCTCCAGAACAGCTCCGGGGAAAAAAGCCATCCCTCTTTCCTTGTCATTTTTGCTCTTTTCATTAAAAAATGCAGCTTCGGGCTTCCCTGGGGGCGCAGTGGTTAAGAATCTGCCCGCATTGGCAGGGGAAACGGGTTCGATCCCTGGTCCGGGAAGATCCCACATGCCGTGAAGCAACTATGCCCGTGCGCCACAACTACTGAGCCTGCATTCCAGAGCCCATGCGCCACAACTACTGAGCCTGAGTTCTAGAGCCCACGAGCCACAACTACTGAGCCCACGCGCCTAGAGCCCGTGCTCCGCAGCAAGACAAGCCACCGCAATGAGAAGCCCGCGCAGCACAACGAAGAGTAGTCCCCGCTCACCGCCAACTAGAGAAAGCCTGCGCGCAGCAACGAAGACCCAGCACAGCCATAAATAAATAAATAAATATTTTTTAAAAATGCAGCTTCTTCTTACCTCTGCCACTGTAAAGATGTGCTTCTAAATAAATGCTCTGCTTAAGCAAGCCCTTGGAGACGAATGAAGGCTTCTGGGGACCCAAAGGCACACGGTGACAGGATGGGCTTTCTTCCCACGAGTCGCTTGCTGTAAAGCTTACCTCTAGCTCCACCTCCAGCCTAGGTGGAGAAGCACAGTCTTGGTAAAAGACACCATGTACTGGAAGATCTTGCCTATGATTACAATTATGTCCTTTTTTATAAAGGCCCCATTTTATTTTTTTTTAATTTTAGGTGTTTTAGGTATTTATTCTTTTATTTAATTAATTAATTTATTTATTATTTTTGGCTGCATTGGGTCTTCATTGATGCGTGCTGCCTTTTCTCTGGTTGCGGCAAGCAGGGCTACTCTTTGTTGTGGTGCGCGGGCTTCTCACTGCGGTGGCTTCTCTTGCTGTGGAGCACGGGCTCTAGGTGCGCGGGCTTCAGTAGCTGTGGCTCACGGGCTCCGAAGCGCAGGCTCAGTAGTTGTGGCACACGGGCTTAGTTGCTCTGCGGCATGTGGGATCCTCCCAGACCAGGGCTCGAACCCATGTCCCCTGAATTGGCAGGCAGATTCTTAACCACTGCGCCACCAGGGAAGCCCAAAGGCCCCATTTTTAAGGAATAAAAGACTCATGAGATCCCATTCTTTGGATGGCTGCTAATGCTGCTCCCTGTCCAAGTGCAGCGCAGGTGGCCAAGCACAGGTCTTCAGAGAAGGGAGAGAGGGGTGCCCCCCTCCAGCCTCCCCACCTCACTTCTTGCCAGTCCGCCCAAGCCTCCAACTGGATCATCAACACCTCTCAGCATTCACAACACTTATTTCCCTTCGAAAAATTAGAGTACAGCTTGATGGCAATTTTTGTGGCAAATTTAACAGAAGAGTTATGAATGAGAATCACTCTTAATTCCTAAAATCAAAAGGTCAGAGGTGCTAAAAGTCCTTATCGACTGAATGTCTGTGTCCCCTCAAAATTCCTATGCTGACATATAACCTCCAAAGGGATGGTTTTAGGAGGTGGAGCCTTTGGGAGGTGATTAGGTCATGAGGGTGGAGCCCTCATAAATGAGATTAGTGCCCTTATAAAAGGGACCCCAAAGAGCTTCTGTGAGAACACAGTGGGAACACAGCTGTCTGTGAAGCAGGAGCAGGCCCTCACCATACAACTGATGTGCTACAGCCTTGATCTTGGACTTCCACCTTCCAGAACTGTGAGAATCAGTATCTGTTGTTTATAAGTCATTCAGTCTGCGGTATTTTGTTATAGCATCCCAAACGGACGAAGACAAATACTTATTGCTATCCAGATTAACAACTCACACGTGGTATCCCTGGGTTGGCAGTTTATTTTAAAAAACAACACCCCGGTTATCTTATTTTCTTCCTTGCCCATCGTTTTTCTCAACAGAACAAGTTACAAAAAATTGGGGATGGGGGGTATATGATCTTTGCAGACTGACATATTTGCAGAGGACTCATGAATAATGATGATTCAAAAGCTCCTAGGTTTACTCCTGAATCAAGCAAAGAGCAAAGGACAACATAAGAAGGAATTGTGTGTACAGCAATCTCGTCATACAACATTGATTATGACAGTGCAGTGGTTACAATTACGTTCACGATAGGATATTCCTTGCTCAAACACCAGACATGCTAAAATCACCAGGCTGCTTACAAACTGGAGGAATCAGTGCAAACAGTCATCTGAAGAGCAAAAACCAGAATCGGGAAGGTTTTTCTGGCAGTGAGATTCTGACACCAGTGGCTTCCTCGTGTGGGCCACCTCACTTTGAGTCTTGATCTTTCTTTTCATCTAAGAGGGCGGAGCGGATCCCCAGCTTTTTCAGTTCTTCCACCAGGTCCCCATTCTGGTGCATCTGCAGAAGAATGTCACAGCCTCCCACGAACTCGCCGTTGAGGTACACTTGTGGGATGGTGGGCCAGTTGGAATAGTCTTTAATGCCTACGGGGAAAGAACATTTAAGCGTCATTTCAGTGGTCAAACACTTGTACGGCAAAATACGTTTCCCTGCTCCTAGGAACACCCCGTAACCCTTCCCGGCTCCCCATCCCTGTGGGACCGTGTATTTGCTACAAAGAGCATAAGCTTTAGAGCTGAATGGACCGCTGACTCTTCCAACTATAAACAGTGAGGCCTCCATCCTCTGTTTCCACCCTTATCTCACAAAGTTTTTATGAGAATCAGGTTAAGTAAGGCTCTCATAAACTACCTGACACACAATCGACCCTGGATTAATGGCAGAGAACTTGACTGGTTAATGCAAATGACACAAGATACACAAGGCTATATTCCCCATGCTTCTGCGGGCCACGTTTTCAGCAAAACAAACAAATGAGAGAAATGCGCCACTCCACTCCCAAATGGACTACTGAACATGGATCCATCATGGTCACTCACTGGCACACTGGGCAGCCCCCACCTAATGTTTTCCGTGCCTGTCTCGGCTGGTGAATTTACAGACACTGAGTCATTGGCTTTCATCTTTAATAATTGGTTTACCCAAAGAAAAATCCCTCTCCTGTGGCTAGACTGTGGCCCTCGTCCTATTCAGCCCCTCAGATGAGCTCTCCATGGGACAGCTGATCTGACTCAGCACAGAACGCACAGGGACTGAGTGAAATGAAGGAAAGGCCCAAAGCTCATGAAGGCCCACGTCCTAGGCCAGGCGCAGGGCCACAGCGTGAGACCCACTCCCTGCCCTAAGAGACAATGGCTTTGAGGACACACCGAGATGAAGTATGTTCAGGGACAGTGCAGCCGTGGGATGATTCTGTGCAGTGCTGGGCCATGAGGATGATGGCTATGAAGGAAATGTGGTTTCAATCTTAAGGCAGAAAAGATCACTCTTTTCTAAATTCCTCCTTACCTTTTACTTCCTTTCCTACTCAGAGGTTGAGATGAGGTATACTTTTTTAAATGCACAAATAAACGGAATAGAAAAGTCAACAAATTCATCAGGCAAAAGACAGTATTACACAAATTTTAGAAATCGGTCAAGTGGTGGTTTTTGTGTAAACAAACTAAAAATACAAAACCTTTTTCTTGATGCCCTATCATTTATTATCAGATGTTTTACTAAATAAGATTACCAATATGAATTATATTACAAATAACAGTCCCAAAATACCATGTGCTTTTCTCTTTTAAAAGTCACTGCTTTCTAAAAAACAGCAACTTCGCTCTAAACGACAGCGCTAGAGGGCCCCCAGTAGGGAGCTTTATCTTTCTTCTGCAGACAGACTTCATGGATAGAGAAATGGTTACAACGTTATAGGCCCTGAAAAGCTCACGTCTTAGCCACTCTGGGTTTCTGTTTAAAAAAAAAAAATCAGCTAGAGGTTTGGAGGTTACCAATAAAGGGCAAATTCCATTAACCATCAGAATGTCTTTATACTGGAATACCCTGATGAATTCAAGTTTGTTTTTTTTTTTCTTTTTGAATTCAAGTTTTTCATCACTCTGATGTTTGGTGCTACATAAACAATTACTTAGCATGTAAGCTGTATGTTTTGGATTTTTTTTTTTTAAACTCTATCCTCAAACACAAAGAGTCTATCAGAACTTAACTTTACGTTTCCAATAACACATCTTTTTTTACTTTATGATGGGGGGAGATTAAGAAACGTTTAGAATATGAACTTTTTACTTCTAAACTTTCTTAAAAATCTGTTACATTTATGTACATGAACCATTTATCTGCACAATATTATATCTGGGTTTTTTTCCAATTAATAATACACTGCATTAAGCTTTTCATGGCAATGAATATCTGATTCTTCTGGTGAGTGCCTACAATTTTTGAAACACACCAAAGGTGAAAACAAATTTGCCATCTGAGGGCCACCCAAAGCCACGTTTAATCCTAAAAAGTACAATTTTTTAAAATAAAATCTTTGTTGAGTAAAAGAATGATTTGCTTTCATCAATCGTTTTTATGGTACTACACTCAACGAAAGCATTAGGCTTGTCCTATTTTATGGTAGCACACTCAACCAAAGCATTAGGCAACAACTAAACATTACATTGTTGCAGACCATACACCTCAACTATAAGGGAAGGAAGGAAATCCATCCTAACCACCAAAACTACCAAAATAAGTGGGCTTTCCACCATCCTGAACAACCAACATACAGTCACATGCAAGCGAGGCCAACTCCTTCCAACCCCCTTGGCCTGTGGCTGTCCTAATAACTTCAAGAACTCAGAAGAACCCACCTCAGAACACATGGCATCGTGACAGCATCCAAGGTGCCTACCAGCTGATAGTTTATCAAAATAAACTTAATTACTTCTTTAATTTTTAGATTATCAAGTGTTACAGGTGGCTGTCGTCAAAGCAAAGCTCTGGCATCTCTCCTAAAAACGATGCCATTTTCCATGTTTAAAAAGTCTGATTACAAGTTTAAATATTTAAGGAAATACCCAAATTGCTTCCTACAGAGCGAAGTGAGAAACTTCCAGTAAGCCTACATTCATAAATTGAAAACTAAAACAAATTCTGTCAATTCACAATTAATTGTTTAAACATGGCTAATTTTTCTCACTCTTTAAATTTTCAGTAACTGCAATATACAGTGATAATTCTTGTAAGTATCACATGGAATAACTCAGAATCAGAAAGCAACTCTTGCAAATTAGAAAATCATACCCAAGAATGGATTTTAATGATAACCATATTTTATAGATGACAAACTGTGATTCCGTCTGGGACAGAAAATGGTGACTGCCGAGTTATGTAACAGGTAACACTAGGACTGGGAGTTAGGAGGCTGCCTTACAAAGTCAGTTCTACATACACCTACTGCCCAACCAAAAAAATGTCATGTTCTCAAGCATCAAGCCAGAGGGGAGCAAATGTTCTGGAAAATTCCCTTCCAGAACTTTCAAAAGGTACTTGTCAAAATTCATGACATTTCAGAATATTGGACCTCGTTCCTGGTTTGGACAATCATCATAAGAGCATCATGATTATAGTTTTCTTTTTTTCTGGTAGATTTTCAGTACACGAGCTTCAGAGTCTGACGCAGGTTGATGCCAACTCTGCCACTTAACGAGGCTCTGTTCCTCAGGCAAGTCATGTCACCTCCTCCTGGAATCACATATTTCTCCATCTTCCTTAACTTAAGAGAATGACGTTAGCACTGCCTGACAAAAAGTAAACCACGGTGCTGAGAGGGTCAAGGCGCTGGTTTAGGGGTCAGCAGACTGTGGCTGGCTGGCTTGTAAATAGTCTCAGATAAATCTGCTCACCTCTCAACCTGTTTCCTTTTCTGTAAAATGGGAATAACTCTATGCCTCACATATTTGTTATGAAGATTAAATAAGATATAATTGGTGAAATGAATTAAGTTCCCACAGCGCCAGGTGCACTGTGGCTACTCGCTCCACGTCCGTGTCCTCTACACGACCCTCCACAGAAATGCTTTCCTGACAATGTACGCAAGTAAACAGAGGGAAAGAATGCAGGAAAGAATGCATACCAGTGAAGTATGCAATGCAATAATAAAAATACCATTTACTGAGCTAAGGTTTCCTGAGTTTCATACTCTAAGTTTTTCACATATCTAATCTCATTTCATCTTTACAAAATTCCTACAAGTTATGTATAATTATCCCTATTTTACAGATGAAGAAATGAAGGCTCAGAGAGGTTAAATAACCAGCATCACAGTGCTGACAGATGCTAGAGACAGGATTTGAGTCCAGGTGTCTAGGAGTCCAAAGGCCAGGTTCTTGACTACCAGAGGTGGTCTCTGGCCGGAGGCTGGCATCTGTCACTCCTGCCCCCCTGTGAGCCCCACCTGCACGACACATGGATCTGCAATCCATGAGACTGTTCCACATCTTTAACATTTATAGACACAAACGGTGTTAAGCCACAATTACCCTTTTGCAACTTGCTTTTTGACTAAGCATCGCCTTTCTTCATTAGGTCTTCGTTTTTTTTTTAATTTAAAAAATTTTTGGCTGCGTTGGGTCTTTGCTGCTGTGCGGCTTTCTCTAGTTGTGGAGTGCGGGGGCTACTCTTCGTTGCGATGTGCGGGCTTCTCATTGCAGTGGCTTCTCTTGTTGCCAAGCATGGGCTCTAGGCGCGCAGGCTTCAGAAGTTGCGGTGCACGGGCTCAGTAGTTGCGGCACGCGGGCTTCAGTAGTTGTGACTCGCGGGATCTAGAGCACAGGGTCAGCAGTTGTAGTGCATGGGCCTAGTTGCTCTGCAGCATGTGGGGTCTTCCCAGACCAGGGATTGAACCTGTGTCGCCTGCATTGGCAGGTGGATTCTTAACCACTGCGCCACCAGGCAAGTCCCTAGATCTAATTCATTTTAACCACAATTTAGTTTTCCATCATATGACTAAGCTACGGTTGCTTTTTTCAGTCTGCTGCTAACAGACCAAGATCTGTTCTTGCCCACTTTGCATTATCACAAGGAACACTGCAGTGCTCACCCTTACGTGCATCTCCTAGCTCACGTGCAGGGGACAGTCTCTCTAGACAAAGGGGTGGCAAACTACAGCCTTTGGGCCAAAGCCGGTCCACATCCTTTTGTAAATAAAGTGTTATTGGAACTTTGCCCCACTCATTTGTCTATGTGTTGTCCCTGACTGCTGTACACTGTAACAGCAGAGCTGAATAGGTGTAACAGAGACCACCAGGCCCCCAAAGCCTAAACTATTTACTCTCTGGCCCTTTACAAGGAAGCTTGTCAATCCCTGATGTAGCCTAAATACCCGGAAGTGAAACAGCTGGGTGTTCAGCTCTGTTCACCTTCAACTTGACTGGGTACTGATAGTCACTCCTTCCAAGTGTGGGCACCACTTTATACCCCCATCTGCAGCACACAACCTGCCCACCAGACACCTACGCACACCTGTTATCTGATTTTTAATGCTTACCAACGTCATAGTTCTACTATTGCCTTAAATTCCTTGATACTGGAAAGGCTGGGCATATTTTCAAATGCTTAATAATCATTCAACAATAGGATGATGGGTATTCATTCAACAGACGCTGTTCCTGATTCAAGGAATACAGTGGTGATCTGAGTAGGCAGAAATTCGAGTGTCTATAATGTTTTTAAGAGCAGGGAAGAGAGTTTATGATAAAATGATAAATAAAAGAAGCATTTATTTATTCATTAAAACACGCACTGAAAGCTCGCTTTGCATAAGCATCACACACAGTACTCAGGGAGCCGCAGAAGACACGTTCCCTGCTCTCAGGAGGGCAAAATGCTATGTACAGACATGGGTGATCTCAACTCTGTTAACAAAGAAAAAAAAACTGTTAGAAACTAGATCCAAATGTTAATAATAATGGTTTATGGTTTATACGGAATTACAGGGGATTTTCATTTTCTTTAGATTTTCAGTGTTTTCCAAATTTCTCCCATGAGCACATGCTACTTTTGCAACTGAAAGTAAAGATTAGTCTCTGTTAAGACCAAGAGCAGGATATGGTGACATCCATCCACCGTGACCCTATCCCTTTGTGGCCGTCTTGTGGGTGCTCCAGATTTTTAAAAAGGAACAAACCTTGAGGAAGGCCAAAACACAAAGCTTCCTCAGTCACCTTGGTTCTTTGGGTCTCAGGCCTCAGGCTGACACCTCTGTGCATCATACTCCCTGGACCCAGTGCCCAGAACTAGGAGACAGTGTCTGAGGGTCTTCCTCCGACTTGGGTCCTTTCTAAAACTCAGCCTTCTCTGGCACAAGAAAACAGGAAAGGCCAATTTTGCAGAAGCCCCTATCCTGTTACTAGAAGTGACCTTGGGTCTGGGGAAAGTTCACAGACATCTTTAGTCGGCAAAAGCAAGCATCAGACAGCCTGTCAGTCTCTCTTGGTGAGCCCGAAGGTGTGGAGAGCAAAAAGATGAAGAATCTTCATGTTTTAAAGCCTCACCCTGGCTAAACTAACCCCCACTCTAACAACGTGCTTACACCACCCTGCCCTAGTCTAGAGGTTAATACTTACCCTATGGTTTACTTTTCTAGGCAACAAAAGACGTGTTATGTTCAATATGTATGCAACGCGTTCACTAACTAAAAGTAATGGTCTGATGAAGCTCAATGGTCAAGAAATTTAAGGGTTAAATTCCTGTTGCTATTGTTTGAACACTTAAGAACAGAAGACTGGAAGTCAGATACATAAGTGCTCTCGGCAAACATTCTTATTCCTGCTGTTACTTTCAGTTTACTGGCCATATTCCAGTATAGCACATCTCTAGTTATATTTCAAAAAAATGTTTTAATTCAAGTATAGTTGATGTACAATGTTTCAGGTGTACAGCAAAGTGATTCAGTTATACCATCTCTAGTTATATTAAACAGGAGAACAGCAATTCATAAACCAAAGACTCTCAAAACTTTAAGCTAAGCATGATATCAACAACACAACGTTTTACTAAGGACCACAGTGGCAATTTGCAAGCGGCCTGAGGCAAGGTCCCAGCAGAAAGATTACAGAGTAGTTTCTCCTATCTTATCTTTTAGGCAGAGACGCCACTGCTGCTGCATGAAGACTGCAGATCACCCTGTATGTGAAAAAAGCCAGCAATTGGTAGCATTCCAGTACTCCAGGAAGGGAGGAGGATCATGGGCACAGCACATGGAAATATTACATATGCCTCCTGGTAACTCTAAGCTGCCTTCACTCCTTGTTTCCATCCACCAAAACCGAGAGTTCTATAAGGATTAGATTCCATGGGAAAAAATACTTTTAAAACCATAAAGTGCTAATAATAAAATAGTTACCATTTAATGGATGCCTTCTGAGTGCGAGATAAGAGGACAAGGCACTTTCTAAAAGTTTTATTTTCCCTTTTTTCCTCACAAAACCTTTGCCAAGTGTGGTTTCATTATTCTCATATTATCGAAAAGGAAAATGCAGTCATGTACCTTGCCTCGGGTTGCACAGCTGATTGGCCAAAGGAGTCTAACCCAAAGCCTTTCCCTGACGCCAGCCTGTCCCATCTCTGTTGGAATGACTATGATTGACAACTTCAAATGTAGACGAGCAAAATACAGAATTCTGAATGTAGACTAGCATAGAACTTGAGGCCCTAAAACACTTTTTAGAACACTGTCACTACACAACAGCAGGAAACTCGGGGAGAACTCAGTCAGTGAAAGTCTAACTGGAATGCCACCCTTCAGGGGGTACAGGCACGGTCCCCCCATGCCTCCACCAACCCCACCCACCCCAGCCAAGGAGCAGACCCGGGTGTTCTGGCCTCTCTCTCCTCCCCCACTAAGATAAAATAGAAGAATGCAGGTACGGTTCTCAGCAAGGTGCTCATCAGAAAAGATGCCAGTTAGCTGTCAGGGCCCTCTATCCTCCCGTCTGGGCCACTGAAAAGTCACAGACACTACTGTGTCTGCCCCGGACCCTGACCGGTTCCTGGAGCTCCAAGCTTGAGTGAGCTAGGGCCCAGGAGTCATTCTTCGTCCCTCTACCCACAGGCCTCTCCAATCCCTAGCCACCACAAATCTCCCCCATGCTTGAGTATCTAAAAGTAAATTTCATGTCTTTTTCTCCCACACCAGATCCCAACTAAGACCCGTCCAAAAGCTGTGTCAACCGCTCCCGTAGCAGCAACAGAGAACGGTTCCTGTCACCCCGAGCCTTGAGGCACGACAGGCCAGCCTCTGCGCCCCTAGCCTCAGACAAGGGCAACCGCGACCCTCCCCCCCGCCATCAACGGCACCTCTCCTTATCCACGAGACCGGGCAGCCCCTCAAAGTGTCCCCGAAGTGTCTACCTCTAATGGCTCTTCCTGTATCCCTCTCTGCCCACTTCCCCAGCCCTGCAGAGCAGGGGGTCAGGCTGCTGACCACGCTCCTTGGATTCAGCCGAAGGGCACTGGCCCGAAATGCCTTTTTCAGCTCAGAATGAGGACCGGGGAACCGCTAGGACTTACTCCATTGCCCAAGTTGGCCCAGAGGCCGAGATCCTCGAGATCCAGTTCAAGTCGATCAGGCCCCCACCCCCAGACCCGTGTGGAAGCTCGTGTCTGAACTCCCCTCGAGCCCCCGGACGGACCTTGCCCGACAGACCCTCGACCCCGCAGAGTGGCCTCGGCCGGGCGCCCCCCCGGCCCGCCCCCCCCCCCCGCCCCCCCCGCCTCAGGCCCCCACCCCCAGACCCGTGTGGAAGCTCGTGTCTGAACTCCCCTCGAGCCCCCGGACGGACCTTGCCCGACAGCCCCTCGCCCCCGCAGAGTGGCCTCGGCCGGTCGCCCCCCAGCCCCGCCCCCGCCCCCAGCCGGCTCTGACCTTGCCGGAGCTGGGGGTCGTCCAGCACGTTGTAGGCCGCGTAGTCGCGGACGCCATGCAGCCGCAGGATCTGCACCACGGCGTTGCTGAAGCCGCACCGGGGCTGCTCCGGAGTCCCCTTTAGGAAGACCACCACCCTGTCCTTCTTCACCAGCGCGTCCAGGCGCTCCGACGTGCCGCTGCCGCCCGAGCTCGCCGCCCGCACGCCCGGGCCCCGCAGGCCGCCGCCCGCGCCGCGCCCCCAGCGGAGCAGAGCCGCAGCCGCCCGGCCCAGGGACCCGCTCATCCCAGCACGCTGGCCTGAGCTCTCGACGGCCAAGGACCTGGGCTAGCCAACCGAAGCCCTCCCGGGGCCCGGCCCGCCCCCCGGAGGCCCTCATTGGGCCGGCGCCGAACAGCTCTCCGTGATTGGATAACCCTGGCCCTCAATTGCTGGATTTCACCAATCATGTTACTCGTCCCGCCCCAACAGGTTGGAGGCGGTCCTTACGCCTGAGCCGCATTCTATCGCCTTACCATTGGCCGCCGGCAACCGTTTTATCAGTTGATTGGAGAGAGTGGATGTCCATCAGGGTCACGCTCCGAGGCAAGGGGAGGCGAAACGAGAGGGAAGACGGCTTCTCTCTGAAGGGTAGACGGGCCTGCTGGGATGCTCCGGGAGGACCTGGGACAGGCGCTGGGCGGGGTTTCGCCGTTCCGCGGAACGCCGGGAAGGGGTCACTTCCAGATGAAGGTTCCGGTTCCGGTGCGGGCGGAGGTTGCGTTGCCACGGCAGCGTGGTTGGCTGGCCGCTGGTTCTTGCGTTCCGGGTGGTGGCGGGGCTGGAGCAGTCTAGGATCCGCCGTTCCCGGCTTAGGTAAGCTTCCCGGAGCTTCAGTAAGGCCGCGGCTGTTCGCGGCGAGAGCAGGGACTGCGCCGGGCTCTGGCGGCCAGGCCTGCCCGGGGCTACGGCGTCGGGGCCCTGGCCGTGTGTCGCAGCCCTCCTGTGGTCCCGCTGCCCCCGTGGGAGCAGAGGCCCAGACCCCTTCCCGTGGTTCCCGCCTCTGCAGCGCGATTATTTCACTAAAACAACTTTCATTTTTAAAGTTTGTAAAGAGCTCTCGTCTGTGTGATCGGGGCTTCGCTGACTTTCCAGCCGACCTAAGCCCCTGGGCTTGGGCCCAGGAAAGGTTGAATGGGAAACTAAAAAAGGAATTGGTTCGTTCGACAGACGTTTTATGAGCAGCTGCTGCGTGCAAGGCACGGTGCCGGCGCGGGACCTGTGCCCAGAGTTTGAGAAATGAGAAGCAGGTACAAATCAATGTGAGGGTAGAGAGGAGGGAAGGGAAGCCTCCCTAGGCCCACTGCTTTCTCTTTTCTCCATTGTGCTTAGTACATCTTGACATATATTTGTTAGTTTGTTTATTGACTTCCCTCCCAGACTGTCAGCTTCATTCATTGTTGTATCCTCAGTACGTAGAACAGTGCTTGGAACCTAGCAGGTGCTCACATTGGTGGAAAGAATGATCCCAGAAGAGCGGGGCTCAGTGAAATCGCCACGTGGTCTGTAGTCTCGGAGCGGTGCTGGGTTGGTGGTACCCTAGAGCACACCAGACTTGCAGAGACAGTATTCTCCAGAGGAAGCTGAGGCATGGCTGCTCAAGGGACAGCAGTACAATGTGCAATTTTCCTCTGATAGTTTCCGAGTACTGTTGCCACGGTGATAATGGCTGTGCCATGTCATTATCTATCAGCCGACAGTAAGAGAAGCTTTTGCAGTCAGATGTTGTTTAACAGATGGAGTGGTTTCTGTTGGACACTAAGTACTGCTACAGATTACTTTCTTTTTAAACCCTAAGTATTTTAAAAGTTGTGGTTGGAGGTGACCTGGTTCTGCTTTGGAGGTGCTCAAGTTTAAAAATCAGAAAATTAGTACATGTGCTGACAGCAAGTGAATCTTCCAAATAATCGTTCACCAGGAGACTTGAGGCCAGTAAGCTGAAAATAAACTCAAGATGTTACTCAGAAGTGCTCCCCAGTGATATATTTGTTTTATCCCCGTGGTTGTTATTGATGTTTGGTAGTTTTCTAATGTGGGACCCAAAATTGATCAGCTTCTTAAAGAGTCCTTTTTTTTCCCCCTCCAGAGTCATTGATTCCAGGTAAATCAGAGGAACAAACATCATACAGAAATATACAGGACAGTAACATACAGGAAGCGATGTGATGTCGAAGCTTAACTGTTGTTTCAAAAGTCCAGCATCTGGTGCACCTAACAGTAGGGGCTATATTATTTGCAAAGTCACCTAACTTTTACTCATACTTATGTTCTGGTAAGTTTGTTTTAGTTTTTGGTTTTTTTTAAAAATAAATATTGGCAGTTCATTCCAGAAAACCTGAATTGTTTATTGCCTACTCTGAACTGTCTCATTCCGCTCTTGAGTTAACTGGAATAGGGAGAAGAATTTGCAAACTTACGGTGTGAGGATCCAGAGACGTAGTGCTAGTCATGGGGAGTATCATGTCACTTATCTAGTGTGTGATACTGGCTTTGCCAGTACAGTTGCCAGACATTTTATTAAATTGAGAAAATACAGCTGTCATTAAAGGTTAAGAGTAGTCCTTCAGCAGGCAGAATACAAAGCCTATGTTTTCCAAATTTATAATAGAATTGCTGTGTACAGTCGAGTATGATAAGGACGTCCATGAAATGCAAGGAAAGCAAGGCGGGGCTCTTTCAGGGAGCTACGTGGGATGGCTTTGATAGTATTGATCAAGGCCAGGAAAACAGATCATGTATCTAGACCAAAGAAATTGAAACAATGCGCCTAAATTTAAGTTTTTAATAAAGCAACCTAAAATGCAGAATGTTCTATGTGTTGAACATACTGCTTTCTGTCTTTGACTTAAAACCACTCATCAAGTATTAGCACCAAACATCAGTGACTTAAAGAATCAAAGAGAATAGTGTTCAAAATATTTCTTCCAAAGCAGCAACTTCTTATATATGATGTGGCATTTGAGTTATGAGTTTTCTCATTAGAAATTCTGTAGTGAGAAAGTATGATAAAAATACACTTCTTAAACAGTTGTAAGAAATCTGCATTTATGCTCAAATGCATTTGGGTGTTGTTTTGTCTTTTTGTTTGTTTTTTGTGGTACGCGGGCCTCTCACTGCTGTGGCCTCTCCTGTTGCGGAGCACAGGCTCCGGACGCGCAGGCTCAGCGGCCATGGCTCACGGGCCCAGCCGCTCCATGGCATGTGGGTTCCTCCCGGACCGGGGCACGAACCCGTGTCCCCTGCATCGGCAGGCGGACTCTCAACCACTGCACCACCAGGGAAGCCCCATTTGGGTGTTTTGAACATGGAAGTCACCATCTTTATCAGTTTGTGATCTCCCATGTGGACATTAATGGGGAGGTAGGGGTGGGAAGTACAGGAAACTTAGGAGAATCCTAGGATTTGGGGTCACAAAGTGTAATTAGACCCCAAACTAAATAATCATACCATGTAAACATGCTGACTCAGGCATCCTAAAAATGTTTTTCTTCCCTGTGCTTATTTATAGATAAGCCTTTACTATATTTAGTAAAATTTCTCCTTTCTCCCCACTCCACCAAAAGCAAATTCACTGTTGAACCCATAATTAAAACCTTATAAATTTGAGATCATTTCTTCCTATATATCAGCTCTAAATGAAGAGTCAGGATTATTGAGCCTAAGATGAAACTTTGTTTGAACACTTAGCATGTCAGTGTTTTCGTACCCTAACTTCAGTCCTAAAGGTCATGCTGCATTCTGACAGGGTGTGGTGATTGTGCATAGGGCACATGACCCAGAAATGTCTAGGTCTGAGCTGGCCAGAGCATTCTGCGAGTGTCATTTTAAGAGAAAAGTGGCTGCAGGTGTTGTACAACGGGTTGAGCCACCAAACATTCCTGAGCTAAAATGGCATTTGAGACCCAGATTTCCATAGACCCAAGCTGAAACTTGATACCGTTCTCCGTGGTGCCCCTTAGCTATTCAGTAATTTTAGAGCATCACTGCAACCCTGGAATTAACTTGATTCCCTAAAAAGTAATTGTTATGTGTGAGAAACTGAGGCAATGCCCAGCCCCCTGAGAAAATGTTTGCTAACCCGTAATGCAAAGATAGAAATGCCTTTGCAGGGACTTCCTGGGGGCGCAGTGGTTAAGACTCCACACTCCCTTGGGCTTCCCTGGTGGCGCAGTGGTTAAGAATCCGCCTGCCAATGCAAGGGGACATGGGTTCGAGCCCTGGTCCGGGAAGATCCCACATGCCGCGGAGCAACTAAGCCTGTGCACCACAACTACTGAGCCTGCGATCTAGAGCCCATGAGGCACAACTACTGAGCCCATGTGCCACAACTACTGAGCCTGCGCTCTAGACCCCATGCTCCGCAACAAAAGAAGCCACCGCAACGAGAAGCCTGCGCACCGCAACAAAGAGTAGCCCCCCGCTCTGAGAAAGCCTGTGCACAGCAACGAAGACCCAATGCAGCAAAAAATAAATTAAAAAAAAAAAAAAAAAGACTCCACAATCCCAATGCTGGGGACCCAGGTTCCATCGCTGGCCAGGGAAATAGATCCCATGTGCATGCCGCAACTAAGAGTTCGCATGCCACAACTAAGGAGCCCACCTGCCGCAACTAAGACCCAGAGTAACCAAATAAATAAATAATAAAAAAAAAAAGAAAAGAAATGCCTTTGGGATCTTCACTACCTATATCTGACAAGACAGCTGGGTTTATAAATACTTCTCTGGCCATGGGAGTGGCCTCAGTTTTGCTACTCACAGGTTCTCACATCATGTGGGCTCAGCCTGGAGGCAGGAAGGGAGCCCTCATTCGGGCCCCCTTCCACTCTATCACAAAGGCCCTGCTCTCCCCCTCTGGGTAAAATGAAGGGACATGATGTCCTGTAAATTTAGTGCAGTCTAGTGCACACTGTGGGAGATACAGGTGAAAATGGATTCCCGAAGAAGCACTTATGAAAAGCCTGGATGTCACAGCAGAGCCTGATTCTGTTCTGGGATTTGGACTGTAGAGGTGTGAGGCCTGGCTTCAGTCCTAAGCATCACTTACGAGCTCTTTTGGATTTTCCTTGGAATTTTCTGCCCCTTACATCTTCCCCTTCCTGGATTTGTGAAAAATGTCTTTGTGACATCTGCAAAAGGTAATGCCTATTTCAAGATGTCTTTATCTAAGGATTGCAGAGTTTTAATGAATCACTTTGTACTCTATTCCTCTGCTCCTAGACATTTACCCCCAAAATATTGGCATGCGT